CTAGTTGCTGTATGTGGGACGCGGCCTCAGCATGGCCAGAGAAGCGGTGCGTCGGTGCGTGCCCGGGATCTGAACCCGGGCTGCCAGTAGCGGAGCACGCGCACTTAACCGCTAAGCCACGGGGCCGGCCCTGCCTATTAATTTTTGATTGGATGCCAGTCATTGTGAACTTTATTGTGTTGTTGAGTACTAGATTTTATTGTGTTCCTTCATAGAGTTATGACCGTTCTTCTGGCACGTACCTAAATTTCTTAGAATCAGTTTAATTCTTTTGAGATCTACTTTTACACTTTGTCAGGGCAGGTCCAGAGTAGCACTAGGGACTAGGGCAGCGCGCCTCTGAGGACTCCACCTCATGTTTCATGTGTTAACAAGGTCCTTCCACTCTGGCTGATGGGAACACAAACTCTTCCCAGCCCTGTGTCCACCTCGAGAATTGTTCAGCCTCTTCCTTTTTAGGTTCTTTCCCCAGCCTCTTGGAATCTCATCCCACCCCAGGACAGATCAGTGTTGGCCCAAGATTCAAGGGCCTCTCTTGCAGCTCTCCAGAGCTCTCTTTCTGGGTGGCTCCTCCTCTCAGGTGCTCTAGCTGCTTTGGCCTTGCCCAGCTCTCATCTGCCTCCTCTTCTCAGCAAGACTGACGCTGCTGGACTCGGTTTAGGGTTCCTCTCCCAGAGCCTCAGCCTGGAAACTGCGTCCGGGAAGTAAGCTGGGCTGGGGCCTGGGGCAGGAGTGGCCACCTTGTTGTTTCCCTTCCGTCAGGAATCACAGTCCTCCCTGCCTAGCACCCAATGTCAGAGAACAGTTTTGCCTCATATCTTTTATCAGGTTTCCAGTTGTTTATGGCAGGACAGCAGTTTGTGTAGCCATTATTTCTTCATGAGCAAAGTGCAAGTCCCCAGTGGCTTTTAATGATTCCATTGGACAGAACTCTCCTTCCCACAGATCACTATCTGGAATCCAACGTGGGTACTCTGTGAGCAGATCTTGCCAAGGAGGAAGCAGAGAGGACTCTGGCCATTTTCACTGGATAACTCTTTGTAAACCTCAGGGTTTTGTTTGTTTTTAATTCTAAAGCAGTTCTCTTGGATAATTTCATGCCAGTATCTGCCATCAAGTTTCCTCCCTTATCTTTCCTGAATTTTGGCGCTTACATAAACATTACCTGTGAGTCATTTCATTTGGCTCTAGCCTAGCTATTTTTACCTCTGTTTTTCTAAATCGTCCCCACCCCTTTTAGATGAACACTGAGTGCCTGATGGCGAAGATATAGTTCATGCGTCGTTTTGGAATTTGTGATTAAAACAAAGGGGTGTTTTTCTTATCTTTTCTTCAGAGAGGCAGTGTTTTCTGTTTGTAGGAGTGTCGTTTCCTTAGGGACCTCTGCTGCACACACTAATGGGACCAAAGAGAGCACATGCAAGCCAAGGACACACCCATCGCCCTCTGGTGGTGGGTTCGGCTCTGCCCACACTCTGCCTGTGGGATATTTGTCGTACAGGGCTTTCAGGGAAGGGTGGGATAGCCCTGGAGTGTGGTGAAGCCTCTCCAGATCCCATGGTAAGAGTACATGCACAAAAGGTGATGTTTGTGCTGTCCCCTCCTTCCTTTCTGTGCTCTGCTTTTCCTAACTGTCACAAATGACTGAGTGAGTGGTTACCAGCACCACTGAGCAGGACACTCTCCTTATGAATCATTTACCTCAATCACACATTTAGAAAAGCTGTTAAGAACACCGGACAGACGTGGGTTTGAAGCCCAGCTGCACCTCTCATTAGCTGTGTAACTTCAGACAGCAGACTTAACCACACTGGGCATCCACTTCCTCCTCATGAAATAGACATGGCAAAAGTGGCGTGGCTGTGGTGAGAAGTAAAGGGAACTGGTGCAAGTAAGAGTCCTGACAGAGGCGTCAGTGTATGTTATTGCTTAGGGCGACCCTATGTCCTTGTTGGCCCTGACACCCCCAGTTTTTCCCTTTTGCCCCAACATGATAAATTAATGGCACCCCTTTTCACTCCCACAAGTGTCCTGGGTTCAACAGCAAATTAGTCTCCCTAATTATTACTAAGTAAGTGTTAGCTATTCTCAGAATCTTTGTTCTAATTCTATCAATGCTAACTATTTCTATTGTTCATTCAAGCCAGTTTTGAGGGCCACTTTGCCCTCTGGCTCTAAAGATTCAAAGATGAATAGACCCCACCCTGGCCAGTTTAGCCAACTCTGGGCCGAGGGAGGGGGATTGGGGCAGAGCGACACTCTGTCAAGGTGAGTCAGAGGATGGAAGTTGTGGGGTTGAAGGATGAGTTTGCACAATTGATCAGAACATAATACTTTCTGTAAAATCTTGGGAAAATGTGGGCCAGAGGTGGAGTGTATCATCCAGCGCTCCGGTGCACAGGCATACGTGCAAGGAATTCCTTTGCAGCACTGCCTGTGAGAGAAAAGTTGGAAGCAACTAAACGTTTGTCAGTAATGGGAAAGATTACGTCAGTTTGGTCTGTTCTCACTGTTGGGGAAGAGGGAGAATCCCCCCCCACCCTTTCCCTTAAGGTTCTTATGGCTGGCCAAATAATTAAAAAGGCAGGTTAGCAGGAGAAAATAAAACAAAGTTTAATAAAATGTAGACATGGGAGAAAGTCAGGAACTGAGCAACTCATCATTCTGACTAGGTTGCTCGCTTAAGTATATTCAGCTAGAGGTGAGGAAGGTGTTGTGGGGTAGTGGTTTGGGATTTCAGAGGGGAAGAAGACAATTCACGTGGAGATGGAAATGCAGGTGTTTGTCAGACAACTCTTTACTGGGCCACCTAGAGAATGTGGCCCGGGAGACAGAATTTTTGATAAGATAGGCTTGTTGGTGCCTTTCTTATCGCACTGATTTTACATTATACTGCAGCTACATATGGGAGTGGCTCCTTCCTGGAACAGGCCTTCTATGTGAAATTCTTTAGGCAGTTTGGGAGGGGAAGCTCAAATATTATTCCTGAGTTCTCTGAGTCCTTATTGTCTTCAGCTCGAAATAATCCGCATACCAGAATGGCACATCCTGGGGCGGCCTGCCCTGAACCCCATCATCACTATGGAGTACTGTGCAGCCACTTACAAAATGAATTTGACCTATTTGTACTGCCATGGCGAGAACTCCAAGATACATTGTTAAATTTTAAGAAAGAAAGTTGAAAAACCCTTCATTCATCCATTCAGTAAAGATTTCTTAAATGCCCACCCTGTGCCGAGAACTATCCTTGGTATCGGGCTATATTAGTAAACAAGACGAGATCAGGTTCCTGCCTGCAGAAGAAAGACAATAAGCAAGTAAGCAAACACATACGATAATTTCAGGCGGTGAGAAATGTATGAAGAAAAACAATTTGAGTAACGTGATAGAGAGTGGGCCAGGGGCAGAAGCATCAGGGGATCGGGTCAGGAAGTGCTTCTTGAAGACGTGGTGCCGGAGCTAAGGCCTGCATGGTGAGAAGGAGCCAGCCACCGGAGGATCTAGGGAAGGTGTGTTCAGCTGCGAGAACAGCAGGTGCTAAGGGTCGCAGATAGGCGTGGGGGAGCTTGGCACGCTCCGGGAAGAGCGGGAAGACCAGTGTGGCTGGGACAGAGGGGCAAGGACCCCATCCCACAGGATTCTGTAAGCCTTGGGCGGAGTAGGGATCCTGTCATACCTGCAAAGGCAAGTGTCAGAGGCCTTTAAAAAAATCACTGTGCTGGTAATACATGCCCTGTATGTAATGTGATCCTGTTTATTACTTTTTAAAGATAGATAAACTTTATAATGGCATAGTGAAAGAATTGGCAATCTGCATATCGAACTGTTAGTAGTAGTTACCTCTGGGCAGGCGGTGTGGTGGAGATATCTCTTGTTTTACTCAATACCTCTGAGTCTGGATGTTTTATAGCAAAATATGTTTATTATTGGGCTATTGGCTATGGTTTGACTCAGCCTTCAAGAAGTCTATCATATTTTACCCACAGGAAAGTATAATACAGTGGAAATTGTACCATGATACCCTTTGAACTTCTGCCTTTTGGACTTGAATCCCTTTATTCCTTTATTTCGTTTAAAACAATGGATTTAACTGAGGCTAGAAATGGATTTCCTCCCTCCTCCCTCCCTTTCTTCTTTTCTTTCTTCCTTCCTTCCAAGAGGCTGAGCAGTTTGCTGCACTATTATCTGCTTCCTTAAATAATTTGCCTTCTAAAAGGAGGAAATGTGTCAGGAATTCTTCCTTACAGGGCAATTTTTTAAATACCCATGCCTTTTATCTCTAGAATGTTTACCCCGTTAGCATTTTCACAGCCTGTGCTGGTGGCAGCTGCAGTGGCTGAGATGGTCTGGGTGGTGAAGTCAACTTTGCTTAGGGACGGCACGTAGGGCAGACACTTCAGCTGTCCCCTGGGCTTTTGCACCCACTGCTGACCCTGACTTGTTCTGTTAGTCCCCAGAACTTGCGAGAAGCCCCAACCCCACACTAACCCAGAGTAAAGGTGGTGGCTGGCTGTTCACTCGTGCATTGGCCAGAGAGCCCATTTTTATATGGTCCAAATTTAGCCCCCAGATGGGGTTTGTTTATATACAGAAAATCTTTAAACATTTGAATTCGTTGCCATTGTTAAAAGTTGGGAGATTTCCCATAAGAAACAGATTTCTAGCACCTTTCAAAAAAATCAGAAGGAAGACTAGTCAGCACTAGGCCCCCATCCACAGGGCTGCTGTGAGCAGTTTCTAGATGGGCTTGTGCCTTCTTCACCCATGTGCCGCTCACCCACTTATTTTTTTTTTGTCTTTATCTTTATTTTTATTGTCTGGCCCCTGAGGAGCTTGAGTTTCCAGCCCCTGGCCTGTTGCACCAGACTAAACTGGCCAGCCCCACCGCTTCTGCGCTGAGCCTGTCCCCCTGTTGAGGAGCCCCAGGCAGGCCGGGCCTGGGGCAGGAAAGGTCCGTGGGGCTCTGGCAGTGGGCTCGCCTGATGTTCAGCCCTGAGGGGACTTCTGCATTCCACTGTCAGATCTGACTTCCCAGAGCGTTTGGCTCTCCTGAGTGGTTATTTAGTGTCAGACGGTGGGCTGTGATGCATCTCTCTGTGGTGACATCTCTCTGTGGGTGGGTCATTGATGTGGGTGGAAGGCCATTCGTGTCACAACTTAAACAGGGCTCAAGCTCCTCTGGGGTTGACTTTTACTTCACAGTAAGAACTCCCGAGTCTCAGCTTTGCCAGTGAATTGACAACCCTTCTCAAAGCAGACTGGTGAGGCAAAGCCTTCCGAAGCTGGAAACCTCTAGCAAGTGAGGAAGAGAGAGCCTTCACATTGGTTCCATAAAAACTGAAGTGTGTCTGTGCTGTGCCCTCCTCCCCAGTCGCGAGGTTGAGGTTGAGTTCCAGACCCGAGGTGTGGCCTCTCCCCTCCTGTTGCACGTCCTGCATTTTGTTGCGGAGTCAGAAAGGGGAGGCTCTCGGGCTGGTCGCCTGCAGGAACATGCTGAGAGGAACACGTCAACTGAGAGGATGCCTGGAGGTCTTGTCACCGTGTGTGTTTTATCTGGCGGAGCAGCGGTTCAGAAGACTCATGAGCCCGAGCCTCCTCAGTGCTGTAAAGCAGCGAGTAAAGAAGTCCCCCGCCCTCTCCTTTCCCTTCTGCAGTCTTGTCAGGTGGCCGTGGGCAGCAGTGCTGGAATTTCCGTCTAGCCTCCTTCGTAGGGAAAAATGAAAGAGCACAGGAATTTGCTATTTCCTAAAAGGACTAGGAGATAAAATGTTCCAGCTACTGCTGTCTCTCAGCAAGTGCCTACTGGGCGCCACAAAGAGTAGGGTTTTCCTGTATTTTGTAGGATATTGTGTATAGAGCAAGCTTAGCAGTTGAAATGTCTCTGATGCAATTCTATGATTTTCACCCTTTGATAAATGGCATGTTAGCCAGTAATCCCTGTTTCTACAAAATGGCAGAAGCGAGTTCAATGTTTGCTTCTGATGTTTGACTTGCAGTCCATTGATCTTGGCAGCTTATTTAATGACTCCAAAAGTCTCAGCTTCCTGACATGAACTAGAGACCCCTCTTCTGCTGTCTAGCTAGGGAGACACTGAGGAAACCTGTGTAAAGTGCTTCGGGAATGATTAGGGGCAGTGGACGGAACTTGAGCCTCGAATCCTGAGTAAGCATCGAAAGTGGTAGACTCTCATGGAGAGCTTTAAAGAAGAGACACATTACTTTTTTTAATAACACATCTCTCTTTTTATAAGAGTAATTCATGGTGATTATGGGAAAATTCAAAATTAAGGAAAAGTATAAAAAAGTAAATCAAAATCCACCCATTCTCCATACTCAGATTCTTATGTTTTGTTTCTGCCTCAAGAGTGGTTCACCTGCCCCCCTTATATCCATGGATGGCAGTGACAGCTCACACTTGTTCAGCCCTGGCCCTGGACTGGGCACTTTACACGGCTTATCTTCATTACCCTCCTAACAGTTCTGTGAGTGGGTACTTTTAGTCTCACTGTACAGATGAGAAAACTGAGGCTTGAAGAGGAAGAAACTTGGCCCAAGGTCACCCAGCCAGTAATGAAGCTGCCAGAGAGAAGGGGCCGTTCGCATTTCTCTGCAGCCTCTGGGAGGCCTCGGGTGCTATTCTCCTCTCCTTTTTCTTTTTTTTTTGTGAGGAAGATCAGCCCTGAGCTAACATCCATGCCAATCCTCTTCTTTTTGCTGAGGAAGACCAGCTCTGAGCTAACATCCGTGCCCATCTTCGTCCACTTGATGTGGGATGCCGCCACAGCATGGCCTGACAAGCGGTGCACTTAACCGCTACGCCACGGGGCCGGCCCTCCTTTTTCTTAAAACAGCTAATGCTGTAGGTTCCAGGGCTTTATAGGAAGTGTGAGATGTTATTTGTGTATCACGTGGCAGGTGCTTTTCTGCTCTGTTCATGTCTGTGCGCTTTGCGCCTTTGTCCCTCTCTAGGCATTATGGCCATCCTGTTCTCAGGCATCGTGATGTCTCACTACACACACCATAACCTGTCCCCGGTCACCCAGATCCTCATGCAGCAAACCCTCCGGACCGTGGCCTTCTTGTGTGGTGAGTTCCCCTCTGTGTGGTTCCCCACGGGCCTACCCAGAGCAGATCATTCTCCCTTGCCCTGTTTTAGGCGTCAGTTGAGATTTTCTTTGGCAGAAGAGGCAGCAGGGGCCGGCCCCATGGCTTAGCAGTTAAGTGCGTGTGCTCTGCTACTTGCGGCCCGGGTTCAGATCCCGGGCGCGCACTGACGCACCGCTTCTCCGGCCCTGCTGAGGCCGCGTCCCACATACAGCAGCTAGAAGGATGTGCAACTAAGACCTGCAACTACCTACTGGGACTTTGGGGAAAGAAAGGAGGAGGATTGGCAGTAGATGTTAGCGCAGAGCCGGTCTTCCTCAGCAAAAAGGAGGATTAGCACGGATGTTAGCTCGGGGCTGATCTTCCTCACACACACACACAAAAAAAAGAAGAGGCAGCAGAATTCCTCAGAGCCAGAAACTGCACCCCTTTATATTTTGTTTGTTACTCTGGCTTTCAAATTCCATAAAGTAAACCTAATAAATGGAACACGTGATGGCTACAATTTTAAGACCAAAAATAATGAGAACTACTAATTATGAACATTTTGGAGACTCATACATTTTTGATGTATTCAAGTGACATTTCCAAAAATGTATTCCTTGGAACCTGTATTGATGAGGGTTAGGTGAAAAAAGACTCCAAAGTCAAAAAAGAGTTTGAAAAATCCTGGGGTAAATAAAGTTTAACAAGTTTATGAACTGCAAGACTCTTCAGCCCACGTGCATTGTGAATTTCTGAGAGAGGGATATGATTACAGCATTTCTCAAATGTGTCCACAGAACCCTTTATTCACAAGAGCATCTTTTTTGTGTGTGTGTGAGGAAGATCAGCCCTGAGCCAATATCCATGTCAATCCTCCTCTTTTTGCTGAGGAAGACCCCCCCCCGAGCTAACATCTATTGCCAATCCTCCTCCTTTTTTTCCCTGTTTCTCCCCAAAGCCCCAGTAGATAGTTGTATGTCATAGTTGCACATCCTTCTAGTTGCTGTATGTGGGACGCTGCCTCAGCATGGCCGGACAAGCAGTGCATCAGTGCGTGCCCGGGATCTGAACCCGGGCCGCTGGTAGCAGAGCACGCGCACTTAACTGCTAAGCCACGGGGCTGGCCCCAACAAGAGCATCTTGAAGGACATAACTTGGGGAGATTCTGCATTAAAGGTGTCATTGTTGGGCTGGGGTACACCATGATGGCTGCTTCTTTTAGGCAGTTTCAGTTTGAGCTCTTGCTCCCCCAACATACCTCCTCCCTAGTTTATACCTGGGAGCGAAGGAACCACTTTCACACTGTCCCTTTACGCTGGGCCCCCAGTGGCAGTGCCCTAGCTGTCATCATTGGCATCTCCCCCAGCATTTCGGCAGGGCTTGTCTCATTTTGAAGCACTAGTTCCACGCTGTCGTGTGCTAGCAGGCAGGGGCAGGCCGTGCAGACTTCATTCCACAGACAAGGAGGCTCAGGTCCTAAGCAGTCAGATGACTTGCCCATAGTCTCATGGCTAAGAAGTGAGTCTGGAAGCCAGGTCTGTCTCTTCCTGGTCCAGTGGGTATTTTTTCCACAGCACCTCTCTCAAAAAGTCATAGCTAAAGACTCTGACCCTGACTCTCTCAATTAAAGGAATGTAAAGCAAAACGTTATTAAATTCTATTTGGTACACATCAGATTGGCAAATCTTAAGTTTGATAATACCCACTTCTGACACGGCTTTATGGAAAATGGGCCCTGTTGATGGCTGTGTACATTGATGCCATCTTTTTGGAGAGTCATTTGCAGCATCAGTCTGAATTTAAAAAGCATATGCTCTTTGACCCAGTAGTTCTACCATCAGGAATTTAGCCTGTGTACAGGCTAAATTGTTTGTTGTAGCTTGTAATATCGGAAATAGAAACAGTCTAAATATCCATTGACAGAGGATTTGTTAAATTAACCATGACACATCCATGTAATGGAATTTATGCTGCCAGGGAAAAGCATAACATAGATCTGAATATGTTCTAAATGAGCTGATTTGGAAATGAGCTGATCACGAAAATATTTATTAGATAAGAAAAAAATTCAAGGAGAAGAAGGGTAAGTATCCTGTCAGCTTGTGGACTTGTAGAAGAATATGCGTTTGAAGAAAAAACATTGCTAAAGTGTTTTAAAACAGCCACACTGTTTTATGATGTTGAACTATTTTAAAATACAGTCTTTGTCTCCCTGTTTATTAGGCTGCCCTGTGGGACGTCACAGGGTGAGCAGGGAGCCCAGTGCTAGAAATTTATAAGGTGCTTTTTCTCGGGATACACAAGTAACTGCTTGTGCAGCGAGAGTGAATGTTGGACTCTGACTTGTGGAGCAGAGCCAAGAGTTGGAAATGTCTCTCTCCCTGCAAATCCTGCAGGGTGTAAGCCGTCTTCCAAACCTTGTGGCGGCTTTAAATATGTGAAGTCAATCATTCTGCTTTGTCCGCTCTGGCAAGGAAGTTAACAAAGGGCCCTTTCACGCTAGTCATGTGGTGTCTGCAGCCATTTGCTCTGAATTTTTGCCACTTTGCCTCAGTGGGGATCCTTGCTAATCACAGTGTTCAGCAAATGGACAGATTCATATATTTATCATCTTCCCGGGTTGGAGAGCATTTATGTGCATGAGTATTTGACAGTTGACTCATTAAATTGGGCGATTCTGAATAGCAAGCACGTGTTGCTGTGTGATAGAAAAGAATGAGAGAATCGAAGTACAAGTTTCACCAAGGTATTAGTTGCAGGATTTTCCAGAAAATAAGCAAAGTGTTATATTGGATTCTGATTTACTTCTGAATGTTTGCTTGCTTGACAATTTAGTACTATATTAGAAGAAAATAGTTGGGGCTGAATAATCCATTCTTTGGTTTGTTTCAGAAACATGTGTGTTTGCATTTCTTGGCCTGTCCATTTTTAGTTTCCCTCACAAGTTTGAAATTTCCTTTGTCATCTGGTGCATAGTAAGTATTTTCCTTGTTCTTTATTTAATTACTTATTTGTAGATCAATAACCACATGTTCTGGATTCATTTATGTAACTGTTAACTGTTCAAAGTCAACAGCTACATAGACGCTCTTCTGTTTAAAAAATTTTTTTTAATCTTTTGTTAAAAAATCACAAACATACAATAAAGGGAAAAGGGATGGAATTAAGTGAATGAATATCACTGAAAAAGGCCATTTGCTTCTTTTGAAATTTTAAATGGCCTTGAATGTTATGGTCTCTTTTAAAAAGTACAAGTCTGTGTGTTTTTATGTTAGGTGGTAAAAGCAGATTTCAGAATTGAATATGTAATTGATCATAATCATGTAAAACCTTTATGTATAGAAAAAAGAAAATACAGCCAAATGTTCACAATGGTTGTAGAATTGGGGGTGATTTCTTTCTTTCCTTTTTTCTTCTATTTTTTCTGGATAATTTATAATGCATATACTTGCTTCTTACTGTGGTTTTCTTCAAATGTGTCCATTTATAAGCATGACCGTGGACACTTGTTTAAAGTAAAGGTTACCAGGCCTTACCTCCCCTGAGATTCAGCCAGAGGAGTCATCCCAGGTGATTTTTATGATCAAGGTTTGGGAAACTGTTATAATTGGACTGGGGGTAGCGGTAGCAGACGAATTAAAATACACCTTTAAAAAAAGAAAATAGAAGTTTAATCATTTGCTGTAGAATCAGATCGTTTTGGGGAATGGAGTAGGGGGAGAATAAATGTTTATCATTTAGAAGAAAGGTTCGTCTGCCTCAGGCATCTGATCCAAGCGACATGAATGGCTTCTGATGTTTGGGCCTTTAGCCTGGTGTTCCCAGGTCCCTTGTCTGGGTTCCTCTGTGTGTCTCTGTTCCCTCAGTGTGAGCTGCTCTCCCGGAGGCCCTCCTGCTGACTCAGGCTCTGAGCCCTAACTTGATCTCTCTGTTGTCTTTTTAGATCCTCTGTTAATTTAAGGCACTTAAGCACACCTTATTGTTGTTGAATTATGATAATTCATCTTCAGTTAACTTTTATTACCTACTTCGCTTAACAAAACACAGCTGTTGAGAGGCAGACTTTTTTTTTTTTAGCACAGTCACCCACCATGTGCAAACCAGTGAGGCCTACTTGTTTGGCATGTGGGGAAACTGAGACACAGAGAAGATAAGGAACCCTGAGGGAAAAGATGTTTCTCCCTCCAGTCTGGGTGCTTCCACCTCTCAGTCGGCAAGAGCATGTTGCTTTTGTCACTGTTATCTGTCCTCCAAAGTCAGGTTTTAGGACAAGAGAACAGCAGCGAGTCTTTTCAGAAAGTATGATAGTCTTTAGTGTGGTCACTGGGTAAAGGGGGCCACATTTGGTCAAACCTGAAACGCAAGCGTGGGAATCGAAGATTGGATTTTGGTGGGTCAAAAAGGGAGGTGACCATCTCAGCTGTGGGTTGGGAGGAAGAGGAAAGTGAGAGGATGGCCTGGGATGGTAACTGAGCCACTCCGGGAGGCAGCCTGTTCTACATTCAGATGGGTGACCTTAGACTCACTCAGTGGTCAAGGGCATGGGCTTTGGGGACTGAACCAGTTTTGAGACTTAGCCCCACCACTTCCTGCCTGGGTCAACTTGGACCAGTTACTTAACTTCCCTATGTCTCCATTCCCTTGTCTCTAAAATGGAGACAGTAATAACTACTTCATAAGACCATGGCAGGGATCTAAATTTAACAAGATAATGCATATAAAATGCTTAGCACATTGTCCGGCATATAAACATTGGATGATTGGGAGCCATTATTGTTAACTTGACCATCCAAGGCACACAGTCCAAAGCACGTTCAATCCATGCTTGTTACAAGAGTAAACTTAGAGCCTACAGAATGTACATGCGTATATTACTCTTTTCTAGTTGGTGATGCTGAGAACCAAGATGAAAAAAATGGAAGTGAATTAATAAGTAGTTCTGAGTATCCACTTAGATGAGATTTAAACTTTACATAAAGCTGTATTTTGTTAAGATCGACATGCCTTTGGAGATGGTTAAGATGGTTAAGAACCAAAAGCCATAGAAGCAACGAGCTAGGCAGGGTGTGTGTGACCTCCTTTTAGAGCCTACCTATGTATTCCTTTTGCTCAGAGAGCAGTATTTACGTGCATGGTAGGCCCTTCTCAGTCTTCCCTCTTTTCCCTGAGGAGTGGGGCCCCCAGGGGAGAGGCAGGAACTCCTTGTCTGTCCCTCCAGAGCTGGCCCAGTGAGAAGGATTAGCGCAGGCCCCTCCCATGGTGGAGCACCTTTGGAGGAGTTAGGTTGCCCTTAAATTAATCTCTGGATATTTCTGCACGGCTTCCTGGCATTCAGTTTTGTTCTCCTGTCATTGCTAAAGCCGTCATTGACACCTAATTAGTCCTCTCTTTCTGACTACAGAAACGTAATGTACAAAGCTTTGTCCTTTCCCAGACACGTAGAAACTGGCATCTACGGCAACATGCCTGCTGGGCCTCTGACTAGCATTGTGTTAGTCATGTCTTTTGTGACCGAGGGAATGCTGCACTTACAGAGGGTGTGTCTCAAGGTCTGGGTAGCTTCGACAAGCTTCAACTTGAAGAACCAGAGGTTTCCGTCTAAAACTTAGTTTGTTACTGTTAACAGGTGCTTGTACTGTTTGGCAGAGCGCTGAACATTTTCCCTCTTTCCTACCTCCTGAATTTCTTCCGTGATCATAAAATCACACCGAAGATGATGTTCATCATGTGGTTTAGTGGTAAGTCCAATCTTGAACGGACAGTGGAGGGAAAATACCTCTTATAAAAGCACACACCGGGCAGAGAACACATGGCTATCTGCTAGAGCCCTTTGAAAACAAGTGTGCCTCCTAAGCCAGAAATCATACAAGCTCCCGTTTAACAGGCGCCTACGGTAATCCAGGCCCTGAGCGAGGCCCTCGCCGCAGCCTGTGAAACGGGTGCTACATGACTGCTCTGTAGAGGAGGAAGCTCAGGCTCAGGACCAGAGGACTTGCTAGGACTGCAAGAGGCAGAGCCAGCATCGGCCCTCCCTCCGTCCACTTTCTTTCCTGAACAGACAGGGCAGCCCAGGCCAAGGTGTGCGTGGGGCAGCTCTCACCTGAGTGCATACTAGGCTGATGTAATAAGGGGCTGAAAATAAAAAAGGTTAAAGGTTAAACTTTTTTGTACTACAAGCTAGATTTGAATATTTTTCTCATTCAGTCACTAAGTTCTGATAGTTTATTTGAACATTTCAGTTGCTGTTCAGTCATATTCCTCTACTTTTTAAAGGATGAAAGTGATTTCATAAATCTTTGGCTCCTAAAGAACTGGATCCTTAGGCATCTTTTTTTTGTGTGTGTGTGAGGAAGATCAGCCGTGAGCTAACATCCGTGCCAATCCTCCTCTTTTTGCTGAGGAAGACTGGCCCTGAGCTAACATCCGTGCCCATCTTCGTCCACTTTATGTGGCACGCCACCACAGATGGCCTGACAAGCGGTGCATCGGTGCGCGCCCAGGCCGCCAGCAGTGGAGCGCGTGCACCTAACTGCTACGCCACGGAGCCAGCCCCTCCTTAGGCATCTTTGAATTTATTTTGGAGTGATACAGCTGGTTCTTTGTGCTTTCTTATTTAAATATTATAATTAAAATATTTTGGTGTGGGTCAGGGTAGAATAATATGCTTTATAAGCTGTTTTCTATCCAGTAGCATACTGTAAATTTCTCACAGATTTCTCTTTTCTTTCAAAAGGCCTCCTTTAAAATATATACATATGTGTGTGAGAGCTGTATGTATGTATGTATGTATGTATGTATGTATAGTGAGAGAAACTTTTTTTCTCAGTCTTTTTTGTGAATGAAGAAAAATGTTTTTGTAAAGTAGTTGACCCATAGTCTTGAAAATCTAAGAAATGTATCAGAGGGGCCTGCCTGGTGGCATAGTGGTTAAGTTCATGTGTTTCACTTCAGCGGCCCAGGGTTTGCAGGTTCAGATCCCGGGTGCAGACCTACGCACTGCTCATGCAAGCCATGCTGTGGTCGCATCCCACCTACAAAAAAAAAAAAAAATAGAGGAAGATGGGCACCGATTTTAGCTCAGGGCCAATCTTCCTCACCAAAAAAAAAGAAAAAGAAAAAGAAATGTATCAGATATTTTATAAAGTTATGTGAGCTATTCGGGAGAGAAGGGCGTGATGAGATCTCTATGGGGAAGCAGGGTGGGGGATATTTTCGACAGTGAGGGCTGTTGGTCCTGGGTGTTCTCTCCCAGGCCATCCCAAGTCCTCCCTCCATTGATTTCCACCCTCTCTTTCCTGGACCATCAACCTCTGTCTCTACTGGTTTCTCCCATCATCATTTAGGAACAGTCGAAGATTCTCGTCTTTCCCAGCAAAATCCAACAACTTCAACCAAAATCCCTACCCCACATCCCCTCCAGCTGCTTCCGTGTCTCCTCTCATCACGGCCAGACCTCTTTGAGTGGGCTGTCCTTGCCCATTTTCTCTACTTCCTCACCTCCTGTCCACAGGCTGGACTTGGCCTTGCCAGGGTCACCAGCCACCTCCTGCAGCCAGACCTGGTGACACTGGTTAGCCCTCGGTCCACCCACCTCCTCAGCTTTGGGCTCCTTCCTCCCACTGACCTGCCTTCTGACTGGAAACCCCCTCCCTCTCTTCCCGTGGCCTCTGGGCCGTGTTCATGGTTTCCCTCCTTTCCCTTTGGGGTCTCCTCAGGCTTCCGTCTGGCTCCCCCTCCTCCTTTACTGACCCTTCAAGTATTGGCTTGCTCAGACTCGGCCCCAGACCTGCTCCTGCCCTTGTGTTCTCACAAGCTCAGCTGTCCTGTGGCCTCGACTTCCACCTAGTTCCCACATTCCCAAAGCTGTTTCCTGTGGCCCAGACCTTTCCTCTGAGATCCAGACTCCTGTGTCTCAACCCTCTTTGGATGTCGTGGAGACATTGCGATCTCGTTGTCTAGGACTGAACTCACCTTCCTGCCCAACTTGCTTTTTTGCCAGCACCCCCTTCCACAGAAGACAAGAATGTGTATTATGACAGAGGTGTGGCTAACTTAGTGTTTGCTGTGTGCCCACCCTGTTCTTTGCCCAGGCGTTTCATCCTCGGGTCACTGACGTGGCAGGCCCTGTTTCTAGTCCCTCATGTTGAGGTTGAGAGGTTGAGTTGAGTCACACACCCCAGCATGGGAGGCCCAGGGGAAAGGGGGCCAGGGGGTGAACCCAGGTCGACTCCAGACCCCGGTCCCAGACCATTGCACAGCACAGCCTCCTAGGACAGCCCACCCACCAAAGACCTGGGCATCCTCTGTGCTTTCCTTCCCTGATCACCCTGCCTCCTGCTCACCCCTGTGACCTGTTGCTTCCAAACCTTGTGTCTCAGTTCCATTCCCATCTCTCCTCCCCTGGCCCCCTCCGGGCTCTGGATTGCTGCAGCGATCAGACCTCCATCCTGCTGTGATGCTTCGGCCTCCATGTCTGGGTCAGATCCTGTCGCTGTGTGCTCTGCCTCGCCCTCCCTTCTCCTTCTGGGACTCCCCCTCTCACAAGTCCTCTTTTAGTGTCTCTCCTCCCTATGCTCTGAGAACTCCCCAAGGGCAGGGTAGGACCGCCTGGTCCCCTCTATATGGCGCTAGGCAAGCCAGGACATTTCTTAGAAAATGTTTTTTCCCAGCTCAGTCCATGTGCCTCAGTCCAGCCAGCAGCCTCGTAGGGGACCAAAATAGGAAGTAAGGAAGAGGCCATGATGCAGTTCCCAACAGCCTCTGGCCACCACCGGAGCAGCCCCGAGCCTGTCGGTGCTGCCAGGAGCTACACAGGGGCCGCACCTTCAGATCCATGGGGCGTTGGACAACTTGCATTCTGTGCTGTTGCCTGTAAAGCTGTGTGGCCCTGGGACGCCGCTTCATTCTGTCAGTCTCGGTTCCTCCTCTCTATATTGTGGAGAATAATAGGACCTGCTCTACAAGGTTTCCTGTGAAGATCAAATGAGCTTGTGCATGCAGAGCACTTAGCACAGGGCCTGGCGCACACACGGGGAGGGCTTGGTCAACACTAGCTGTCATATTTCTAAAAGGTGAGCATTGGGCTTGATAAGTCCTTACACACACACACTTGGTGCTTCATAACCTGGACAGGTCACCTCATCTGATCTGCTCAACCACACTGTGAAGTGGGAATGGAGGTGAGCTTCCCCCTGGGCCCAGCTTCTCTGCAGCCTGCTTCTCTCACACCCCAGAGGCTCATAGGATATGTTTGCATTCTCCTGTGGGTCTGTTAGAATGTTCGACTGGCCACGATGCTGGGCCTTGCCCAGATCCCCAGAGAACTGGGTCAGTGCTGCCTCTTCCCTGTCTCTCCTCTTACTTCCTTCACTGTCCCCTCAGGCCTGCGGGGGGCCATCCCCTACGCCCTGAGCCTGCACCTGGACCTGGAGCCCATGGAGAAGCGGCAGCTCATCGGCACCACCACAATCATCATCGTGCTCTTCACCATCCTGCTGCTGGGCGGCAGCACCATGCCCCTCATCCGCCTCATGGACATCGAGGACGCCAAGGCGCGCCGCAGGAACAAAAAGGACGTCAACCTCAGCAAGACGGAGAAGATGGTGCGTGCCGCGTGGGCCTGGGCTGGGAGCAGAGGGTTGGTCCCCACCCACTGCTGGGAGATTGGGGAAATGAGACTGGATTTGAGGATACTCAGGACCTGTGCACACATGCACGCGCACACACACACACACACATGCACGCACGCACACAGGTGCCAGTGGCACGACCTGAGAAGGAGGTTGAACTCGAGTTCTGAAGCACAGCTCTTTGGGGTGGGCTGGCTGCCAGCCTCTGGCCTGGTGAAGCCGCAGAAGCCATGGACTGGGAGTGTGCACCCGTGTCGGACTCGCCCAGCAGCACTCCTCTGCTGCTAGCAGCTGCACCTCCCATTGGGGCGTGGGACTGGGAGGTTTCAAAGTCACATCATTCCCCAGCATTTACCAGAAGCCTTCTGTTGGGGCTTGAGGGGAGGAAGGTGCTTACAGTGGCTTTGAGGGCCATGAGAGAGGGGCCCTCCACCGAGGACAGAGCAGGGCATGATTTGGGGGCTGCAGGTGCCCAGGGCCCAGCTGTAGTGAGCCTGAGGCCCCCAAACGCTGCCCACCTCTGCCTTCTCCAGGCCCCCCTGCTGCCCCGGCACCTGCCCCATCTGAGTCAGCTGTGGTGGTGCCTGCCTCGCCCTCTGTTCACCTCAGGACCCTGTGCTGAGCTAGGCTCTCTCACAGTTGCAGAGGCCGCCCTGGCCTCTCGTCCCACCTTCCTGCACCCCTACCCCCATTTCTGGAAATGCATCTTTTTCTAGTTCCCTTATTGGAGGCCACCAGTAACTTTCATCAGTCATGGAAGGCACAGAAATTCTCAACCAGTGTTACCGCCCTAGGGAGGGGGTCTTCTGCCCAGTAGGGTTTCTTTTTTACAATATGGCTTCCCTTATGTCAACTTTGTCTTGAGCTGGTATCACCAGGAGACAGGGACAGGGGACGGCCCGCTTCTCACACTGAGAGTCCAGGTCGGGTGGAGCTTGGCCTCCAGTCCCTGCGCCGGGCCTCTCAGCCAGGGCTGCGCTGCGGGGAGGAAACCTCCAGAGGACCTTGGCTGGGCTGGCTCAGCAGAACTTCTCTCACTCCCAGCGGCCCTTGTCCCCAGACCCATCCGCCAACTTCCTTGTCTGTTTTTAACGAAAGCTCTAGCATAGGTTCTCAAACCTTTTAGTGGGTGTCAGAATCAGTGGAGGGCTCCAGGGGCTTACAGGTCTGGGTGGGGCCGGAAGGAATTTGCATTGCTTACAAGTTGCCAGGTGCTGCTGCGGCTGCTGGTCCTGCAGCCACAGTTGGCTCAGGGGGAGCCAGGATGTTTGCTCAGAGGAAGAATAGCTGCTCTTTAGGGAATGTTTTCCGTGGCGTAGGCACTGTGCCAGAGCTCTCCTTGACTCTCAGGTCGCCCTGATAACCTGCAGGAAGCAGATGCTCTCGTCCTCCCCATTCTGCAGATGAGAGCACTGAGGCACAGAGAGGCCAAATCACACAGCTGAGGTCACACAGACCCCAGAGCCTGCGCTCTTCACCCCACACTCTCCATCAGCGCTCCTCAAGGTGAGGTCCCTGGACCAGCAGCATCACTGGAAACTTGTTAGAAATGCAGATTTTGGCACCCTGTCCCAGACCTGCTGAATCAGGAACTCTGAGTGGGCCTAGTGGGCCCAGTAGTTTGTGGATCACAAGCCCTCAAGGCGATTCTAATGCAGGCCAGAGTTTGAGAACCACTGCTTCACACAGCATCAAAATGCCCTCCCCCCGCACTCTCTACCACCTTCTACCCCTGCACCTCCTGCAGGGGCTCCGGGCAGAAGCCCAGCTGACTCGGACTTCAGAGCAGCTCCTCTGGCAGTGCAGCAACGGCTGCATTCAATTCCTGCAGGTCGTCCCTGCAGAGGGGAGGGCTGTTCTGGGCCTGGGGCCTGGAGCGGGGCTGACAGATCCGGTGAACCTGGGACCTATGTCCCCTCCTGACCTGCCCTGGCTGGTCGTTCTCTTCATCCCTCTCCAGTTCCCGCTGGGATTGTCCCCTCCCCTGCTGCACTGATGTGACTGGCGGACGCCTGCCCAGAGCCGAACCATGGCCAGTGCGGCCGCAGGCACAGATGGCGGAAGGAGCCTCCCTTGTTCAGTTGCTGGTGATGAGACAGCCAGAGCGGCAGGTCCCAGGCCTGGCTGCACCTTAGCATCACCTGAAGGCTTTAAAAACCAAGCTCCAGCTCCAGCCCCGAACTTCTCATTTATTCACAACTCGCATTTATTGCTGGGTGTCCGTCATGTTTTTACAGACCTTCCCGCCTCCCTGCGGCTCCCAGGAGGCCCTGTGCTGCCCACAGACGCCCTGCACTGATCTGAAAGCGCAGTTAGGGTTGGGGACTCGGGTGGCCGGGGCAGAGGGCGGCTAGGTAGGCTGCGTGGTGTGGGGCTTCCAGGGAGGTGCCAGCTGCCCACCCCACGGCTGCCTGCCCCCTCCCCGCAGGGCAACACCGTGGAGTCGGAACACTTGTCAGAGCTCACCGAGGAGGAGTATGAAGCCCACTACATCCGGCGGCAGGACCTCAAAGGCTTCCTGTGGCTAGACGCCAAGTACCTGAACCCCTTCTTCACACGGCGGCTGACCCAGGAGGTGGGGCATGGGCCAGCGGGCGCCACACGGCCAGGGGTCCCTCGCCTTCCTCCCTCAGGACCTGCAGTGGGCAGGGAAGGCCCACCTGCTATGGTTGGGGGGTGGGGGAGGGCAGCCAGGCCACTGCCTCCCGCTCAGCTTTCCCTCCCTCCCCGGCTCGCGGGCTGGATATGCTGTGGCCCTGGGCATCTGCTGTCTTCCCTTTGCTGCCATCTTTACTGCGAGTTTTATAATAAACTTGTTAACACAGTTTAGTTTTCCTGGATGATAGACTCGGGACACTGATCAGCTACGGAATCTGAGCTGAGGAATTTCAGATGTGCCAGGGCCTCAGGCAGTGGTCCAAGCCTCAGGGCTCTCATTCCAACCCTCCTGGCCTCTGGGTGACAGTCTCACAGGGACCACCTTGGACCTGCTTTGCTAAAACTCATCCTGCTTCATGCAGGCTTTGGGGGGGCGGGCGGGGTTCTTCTGGCTGCTGCCCCCCCTTGTTTCTGAGCCCCGTTTTCCCTCCTTCAGGGGTCGCTCTCAGCCCGTGAGCTCTTACTATAAGCCAGGTGTCGCGCCAAACATTTTTCACGATTGCTTTGTTTCATTCTCCCAACAACCCATGCAGTAGATGCAGCTCTTATCTCACTTGATGGCTGGGGAGACTGGGGCCCAGAGAGGTGAAGTAACCCCCAAGGTCACACAGCCAATACATGGCAAAGCTAGGAGCAGAGCCCGAGTGTGTCTGATTCCAGAGGCCGTTCCTTACATCACACCGTCCTGCCTCCTCTCTGTTTCTGAGTGCCACCCCCGCCCCCACAAAGAACAATCCCAGCTGGAGTTAGTCGGTTTACACTGTGAAATCGCTGGTGGTCACGCACCCTGCCTCCCATCTCCCCCACAAGTTAACAAAGCCGCTCCCCGTCCCTTCCTCGGCCCTGACCCTGACCCACCCCCACCCACTGACGAGAGCTTGCTTGTGTCTCCTGCCCCAGGACCTCCACCACGGGCGCATCCAGATGAAAACCCTCACCAACAAGTGGTACGAGGAGGTGCGCCAGGGCCCCTCTGGCTCCGAGGACGACGAGCAGGAGCTGCTGTGACTGAGCAGGTGCTGTGGCCTCTGGGCAGGCAGGGCCGCCACGCTGCCACCCGGCCTCGCCAAGGCTCCCAGGACAGACCCCCAGCAAAGGCCCCCAGAGGCGCATGCGTTTGGCCTCCAGGGCAGATGAAGGCAAGGTGAGGCTTTGTAACTCGAACTTCCTAGGCCTTTGGAGCCAGCGGCTGCTTCTGAAACGCGTCATCTCCACGTTCCTCGCTGAGCCGGCCCTCTGCTCGCAGTTGCTCCTCAGCCCGAGATTGGAGGGACCACCTGTCAGGTAAATGTTTCCTTCCGCCTCTGCAGCTGAGGCCAGCAGTCACCTGTCAAGACATTCCTCTCCTGAGAGGAGAAGTGCTGCTGTGGAGCCTGCCGTGACCGGGTGTGCTCAGGGAGCATTGTTTCGAAGTTTCTGCCATTTGCGACCCCACGAGCCACCTGCTGAGGCCGGGCTGTCCCTGCTGGCCTGGGTGTCTGACTGCCGTGTTCCTTTGCGTCATCAAGGTGCCTCCAGCCTCAGCAGCAGCAGTTCTGAAGTGGCAGGCTCAGAAATCGTGAGAAGCGCACACTCCCCTTTATGATGTTGCCTGCACTCCGAGGAAGAAAAACTGAGTGACCTTTCTCTTCGTGACTTCTGACGGGCATCTGGCAGGCTGTCTCCCTGGGTGGCAGGCAGCTCCTGCCCTTCTCTGGGAACACTGTGAGTGTTTCCACTGGTACTGAGCACGAGGGCACAGGCCCATTGGAAGCTGCGTCCCTGGGGTTTGGGGATGAAGGAGCCTGTTCTGTGGGGTCAGAGCGCCCTCTAGAGGGGGAAGCTAGAGGTACAAGTTTTATGCGGGCCTGCAGCCGCTGTCTGAATTCAGTTTAAATTCATGCACTTTTACAACGTTGTAAGAGCCTGGCAGGCGCCTCCCTCACCTCAGTTCCCTAGTCGGCGGTCCTCGTTTGTCCAGAGGCCCCTTTTCCTGGGCTCCACGGGGTCTGCCCGCCGTGTGCCTGCTGCCGCCTTCACCGCTGATGAGCATTTCCTCTCTCCCTCTCCCCAGTCTCTACTGTCTTGGGTCCCATTTGTCCCCCAGGCCAGGGTCCCAGCTCACCAGAGCAGCTGTGCCCCACGCCCCTCCCCTGCTACCCTCCCCCACCCAGGACGCCAGTGGCCTCCGGAACATTGCCTGCAATCCCCGAGCAGCCACTGCCACCCCAGGACTCGTTCGTTCCCAGAGTGTGTGCACACGCTTTTTCTCTGACACTCACACACCGGGCCATCCCCATGGTCCTGGCCCCTGGGCCATCTCGGGGTGAGCAGCTGCCCATCATGTCCAGGTGAAATGGAGTTGCTGACTTGCGCATCCACTCCTCACTGGCCCTTGGACAAGCCTCGTACCTGCTTGCCTTTGCCCAGCTGTGGGCTACGGCTGTTCCCTTGTGTGGCTCAGGGTCCCGGCTGGAGCCTTGGGACTTGGCACCCTCTGGGCTGGTTTAATTCATCATGGGCATGTCCTTGGTTCTCTGTGGTGGTCCCTGGGCTGGCAGCAAGTACGTTTCTATCTCTTCTGCCTCAGGGAGCGTGGCTCTGGGTGTCGGGAAGGACTGACTCAGGACGCTCCAGGATGTGTGTGCCCAGCCCACGAGGCCAGGCCCCTGCCTTCCCTTTGCCCAGAAGTGTTAGTGTGAGGCCAGTCAGGCAGGAAGCATGCAGTTTCCTTTTTACGCATGAAAAGTAAATTTGTACTTAGTAGAGCTAAAATATGATCATTTTTTTTTCTGTAATCTCTTACCTTAACCCCATAATTTGAGCCAAACAGGATTATTTTACTGTACCTGACATCCCCACTGGAGGAATAATGCCATGCATAATCCTGGTCTCCGCCATTTCCTATTTCCTTTTAGTGGAAAAGTAAGAGAAGAGGTCAAAGAAGGAGGAGCCTTTGTCTACATAATTTACTTTCTCCTCTGAGATTCAGGGTCTGATCTCAGAGGTGTAAGTTGCATTGCAAACTCAATAGCTTGCCAGAAAAAAATTTTTTTGGCTGAGTTCATAGATAAGCAATGAAAACAGGATCTTCTCAATTCACACTGCCCCTTGTCACCAGGTCCCACCTGGCCTCCCACTGTTACCTGAGACATGAAATCAACACTGTTGTAGAGAAGCACCTGGGGGCTTGGTGGAAGGTCCCCAAGACTTGGCCTGGGGGCGGTGGGCACCTTTCCTGGCTGGAACCAGCACCAGGCTGGATCTCCTGTGAGCCTCTTCTGCCCCCTGCTGGCTGAGTGAGGGGTTAGCAGCCTGGGAGAGCATTCCCCTGGGGAGAGGGTATCTGTTCTCCAGCAGTCTCTGCTGTTCACCTTTGGAATAGGCAAAAGCCCATAGAGATATATTTTTCTGGCGGATTTTTTTAAATGTCTTTGCCTGAGAATCAAAAATTGCTGCTACCTTTAGCATACCTAATAATTCTAGTTTGGGTAATAAATGCCTAGAAGATAAAAAGATATCCAGCGTAACTGTCACTTCCCGCATATTTACTTTCTTTTAGGTCTAGGCCATGGGACAGGAGAGCGACAGCACGTAGAGAAGGGGATACTTCAGAGTGAGGTGAAGGCTGTGAAGTCAGCGAGTGCCTTGGGGAAGCTGGCTGGTTAGCCGGTGAACTCAGAAGACATGCCTGTCTTGGGCAGCGGGGGGGCCGTGCGGCAGCCAGCCCCACACCTCAAGGCTCCCCCTGCAGCCCTGTCGTTGTACGACCCCTGGGAACAACCATACCCTGGGGCTTGGAGTGTGAGGGCTTACCAGGAAAGAAGCTGGCTTTTCCTAGGTCCCCAGAGATTAAGTTTGGGCTGGGCTGGGCCAAGGCCAGGTGGAAGGGGGCTCAGTTGCGTCTGGTGCTCAGACACTCAGGGGCAGAACTGAAACCCTCCCACCCCCAGACCAGCCACCTCTTTCACAGTGGGAATGCCGGCCGGGTCACAGCTGATGTGAGGCCAAGTGGCAGGGCCTGGCCCAGAATGCTGGCAGCTCCTGAGTACCCCATGTCAGCCCAGGGAGGCCCCAGTATGCCTGCAGATTCCTTTGTGTGCAATGAAATGCGGAAAGATTGGTGAGTGTGTATCTGTCTCTCCAAAACCCACGTTCAAGTTGCCATCCGCAAGACTTGGGCTCACGAGGTCCCAGGTCCACATTCTCACAGGGGCCCGCACATTTGGCGAGGTCCTCAGCGGGGTGGCCACAGCCAGGATCTCACTTCTGCTTTGGTGTGGAGAGGGAGGGTGGGGCAGGGTGGTGGCTGGCTTCTCCTCAGCCAAGTCACAGCCGTCAAAGGTGCAGGCATGGCCTGGGGTGGATCTGCTCTTAGAACTGGTCCCTGAGTCAGGTGTGAGGAGGCCTCTCTCAGCAGCAGTGAGCTGCCATTGATTAGGACTTGAAATGTGAAACAGAGAGAGGGTCCCCGGATCCTTCCCCATTCCCTCCAGAATGCAGGTATGTGTTTCTCCTGTTGGCTGGTAGGTGGGGAAACCAAATCTGAAATGTTCCTGATACAGCAGCTAGAACTTTAAAAGAAGTTGTTCTACCAGGAACCCGGTCTCCAAAGCCCCAGGCAATATGCTGTAGATGAAAACACCACAATCAGAGTGAAGGCTTCGAGGGAAGCAGCAGCCACACTCCCGTCCGTGTAAGCTCCTGCCATTTCCCACACAAATGGGTTACGTATTCAGGGACTTCCGTTGTCATTGGCCAAGTTACAAAAGAAGGAAGACTTTCTAATGTCCCCTGGCTGGCCCCATTTTTTCCCAGAGGGAAAAAAAAGACTTGGCCTTTCTTCCCAGGGAGCTGGTCTTCTCCCAGGCTCTGCCTGAGCTCGCCTGGGTGCAGGCGCAGAGCTGAGCGCGTGTGAGCGCAGCTGCGGGACCCTGTGGCCGTGTGCTTGGACGGGGAATGTGCCGATGGGTGGTCAACAGAGAAAGGCCACGTGTCAGCCCTGTGGGCCTGCGCTCCCAGGAGCCCATCCTCGAGTTCCCGGCGCTCCCTCCTCTCGCAGCTGCAGCCCCGCTCCAGGGAACCGCGGGCGGCGCACGGGCCAGGTCGGGAAGGCGCCTTCTCGCCGCACAGCCGCGGTTCTTCGGTTCCTTCGGGGCTTACCAAAGGCTGTGACATTTTCTCCAGTGCAGCTCCTGCAAAGCTTGATTTGTTCTCAAGCTTAATCAGAATCTTGTATTTTTTTGAGTAATTTTCTTTGTAAAAATGAAGGATTTTTTTAAGTACTGCTTTTTGATTTAAGGACCATTGGGAAGGTCGGGCTTATTCTTTTGTCCTCCCCCAAGTAAGCTGTGAGAGGCATTTGTTAGGTCCTGGTCCCGAGAAACGGTGTGCTGCTCTTCTTGGTGGGGCTTCTGACTGGGGGGGAAGGTGGGTCAGCGATGGGGGACCTGTGGCTGCTATGCTGGAGCCCCTGCTCCATCTCACTGGGCTCTTTAAAGATTTCACAAATGGATGAAAACAGGAATTTAGTCACTGGGTACTTATTTAGAAATAAAAACGAATGCTGCTGAATCAGAGGCAGTCGGTGTGTTTTCGTTCAGGTGGCTTTGCAAACGCATGGGGCACACACTCCTGGACTCGGCTCCGTGTCATTACCTACCCCACTCCGGACGAGCAGCAGACGTTGCCGCAGAGCGCAGTGGTCAGTGGGGGGAGTGTGGGCTCTGGAGCAGGAGGCCTGGGCCTCATTCCTGCCTGCCCTTGGTGAGGCTGAGCGGATGGGCCCAGCCTCCAGCCGGCCACGGCTGCTTTTCCTCACGGGTGCTAAGGACCCATCTTGCCGGGGCTCGCTGGGCCGGCTGGTCTCCTGCCGCCGGGACTGCAGACCAGCCCCTGGTGGGCCTTTGCCTGACTGTGAACCCAGGGACACACCGGTCTGTCCCCCAGGCTCTGAATCCGCACAGCGGCAGGAGCCTCTGAGGGGAGGAGGTGGCGGCGTCTGTGGGAAGTCTTGAGCATCAGTGTAGTGATACCCTCATACTTCCAGAAGGCATCCAAAGCTGCTTGTCCAACAGGGC